ACCTTCAGCTGCCCACGAGGCTGCTTCTTTTCCTCCATATGTGAGTCATCTCTCAAGGATTCCTGAAGCCCTCCGTACCTTTTCTGTCATGGCAGAGATTGACATGACAGAAAAGGTAACATGACAGATTGACATGACAGAGATTGTACAAAATTAGCTATCTCCATGCTTCAGTTTTGTCTCAGAGACTCTAGATTCATAACATGTGACATTCAGAAAGAGCCCCATGATTCATCCAATTCAATTCTCTTATTTAGAGAGAAGGACATGGTGATTGCTCTAGCCCCAGAGGCTGGTTAATGGGAGAGCCAGAATTAGAAACAAGATTTCTTGACTCTCCACTGAGGTCTACTTAGCCCACAGACTATGCAAGGGCTCTGACTTTTTACCCAGATTTTCCATAAAAGGCTATTCCTTGTCTTATCCCCTCAACTATTTCAGCAGAGGGGAGGTATGGCGGCCACACTATGCTATTGATGACTTTTTACTCTGTAGATAATATCATGACTCTCCTTTCCCAGTCTCTATGGCTTTGCAACCATATGTTCCAGGGATCATCCCTTTATCTTTTCCCCAAGAGTGCACAACTCAGAAAGACTCTGGCTCACTTTTTCTAGAGGAGAAGTCAGGTGTTACAGAAAAACAAGTCTCATCAAAAAGGGAATTTCAGTGTCACACAGCTTTTTCTTCATGATATAAAGGTGGTGCAGTTGAATAACAAAAATAAAGATTTGAGGTATTCATTTATTTCTCATTGCAACAAGACAAACAAGTGTAATCCCATTTTTAACAAGTACAAATGGTAGCAATCCCAAGAATCTTAAGCATATGTATAAGGCAAATACTAGTAAAACAAATGTTTGTCATCTCATGGGCATCAAACTTTAGATGACCTTGGAAGAATCACTCCAGGCCCTGAATACCAAGGCTGATGTGCAAAATGAACTTATCATCTAAAGTAATTTCAAACCTAAAATAAAACATTAATATTCAAATACTTTAACAAAATTCAAAATACAACCAGTACACCAGGAATCATCCTTAGCCAAACAAAGGATCAAGAAACAAAACTATGAACAAAAACAATGCAAAAAAAAAAAAAAAAAGGAAAAGTTCATCCAAAAAGACTAGATGCCCATCAAAATCACATCTCTTCTTCTGATTCTTGTTCTCGTTCAACGTTTTTCAGGAGTCCAACTTCTGAGGGGCAGGTTCTATTAAGTCGAGATTTAACCAACCTGAGAAGAATGAGAGGCATTTCACATTATGTTGTTTACGATTAAAAACCCAGAGCCATACGTACTTATAACAAAATCCAAATTATTTGTGCAAATGGGAGAGGCACCCCAAAAGAGAAAATCACTTTTATTTGGTTTTGGACATACCTGAAAATTTTATTTTTTTATTGTTTTTAAATAATTATTTATTGTTGAAAGTATTGCATTTGTCCCCTTTTTTCTCCCATTGATCCCCCTCCAGACCGCCCCCCCCACCCCAAGCCCTCACCACCCCATTGTTTGTGTCCAAGGGCCATGGATATGTGCATACAATGTCCTTGGTTGATTACCTCCCACCCACCTACCTTCCCCCAACTTCCCTCTGAGATTCCGCACTCTGTTCCATGCTTCCATGTCTCTAGATCCACTCAGTTCATCAGTTAAAAATCATGTGGTGTTTTTATTGTTATTATTAAAGTAAGGTATAATAAGCAAACAGATCTAAGGTAGCTTCTGAATGCACAGCATGATTATTTGATTACGCATCAGAAGATGCCTAATTATTCAGAACTTTCATCATTTCTGAAACAAACAAGACAATCTCTGGGTTGTAGGAAGCCTTATGAAACCAAGCTCAGCCAAGCTTTTCCAAGTCTGCACCCAGCTGTGTACAATAAGTAGGAGCCCTCTTCTGAAAGGAAGTGCATAAGGGTATCTCCTTCCCCATGTCAAATCTGGGCTTTATTGCAGCCCCTACTGGAGCCTTTAGAGAGGTGCTTTTGTGCAGGTCACAGGCTGCCCACTGCACATGGTGGTTCAAGTTAGAAGTGCACCCCACCCTTGTTTTCATAGATTAAGAGAATCTGTAGGATTAGGGGAAACAGCAATTACAGTTTTTGACATTGGAAGGTACTAAGCTATTTAGGAGCAGAAATTCAGCAGGCTCTCCCCTTCTCTGATGTATTAAGATCTAGAAAAAGGTTTTCTCTGTGCAGGATTATTTGTAAAGACATTGCACTGTGACCATATCAATAAAACATATTTAACTTCCAGAAATACATGGTAATATACCAGCAAACTTGATAAACCAAATCATCAAAATCATTCTGATTTTATGAAAAAGTTCCCCAGCCTGTCTGCATCTTTACCCTTATTATCTGCCTTTCTTTTTCTTCTTGTGAAGGTCTGGCCTGCCCCTATCAATATGCATTGTCTTTACTTGTGCTCTGCATTCCACAGTGGTCGGCAAACTCATTAGTCAACAGAGCCAAATATCAACAGTGCAACGATTGAAATTTCTTTTGAGAGCCAAATTTTTTAAACTTAAACTATACAGGTAGTACATTGTTATTAACTTAATTAGGGTACTCCTAAGGCTTAGGAAGAGCCACACTCAAGGGGCCAAAGAGCCGCATGTGGCTCGCGAGCCGCAGTTTGCCGATCACGGCACTAGAATATGAGGTTTATAAGAGCTGAGACCTCATCTTACTTACTGTCCTAATCCCAACCAGAGTCTAGAACAGTGTCTGGCACATATGGTGGCTCAACACACATTTGATAAATCAATGGCCTTTGAAGCAATCTTCCAGGAATTCATATCACTCACCTATTCATAGATAATTCATAATTCTTCAGTCAACTCCAATTCAACACTAATTCCTCCAATACATAACAACTGAGCAGTATTTAGTAACATCTGTTGACTCATCAAGAGCCAAAGAAAACTCAAAATCACTTGTCTTGATTATTAATTGACAATTGATGCTGCTTCCAATATCCTCAACTCCTCAAGGCATTGTTCTCATGAAAGGCTAATCGTCTTAACATCTGGGACAGCGTTTGCGTCATTTTAAAAAACCCACACAGTTATTTCCACACGGTACAACTTCAATGCATGCTAAATGAAATGCATTAGTTAATTTATTCTCAGGTTCATTCCTGATAACTTTTGTAGAAAATAAAACAAAGACACAGCTACTTACTACAAATTAATTGCTAACACAGATGCTAGTGATTTTTCCTGTTTCCCCTACCTCCTCTCTGGATTGTATCTGCTATTGCTTCAAGCCGTGAGGATGAATATACAGATACTTGAAATAGGCTCTATCTGCACCTTGTAGCTCTAGATATTGGCACATGCAGAAATGGCCACTGGGGACAGACTGAGGGATGGCGAAAGAAGAGGAAGTGCAAATAATTACTAGTTCCTGGAATGAGGCAAATTCAGGGAAATACAGTCAAGGTGTGTCTGGGCTTTTGTTTGCATATGTTCCTCTGGATTAACATGAGGAAGAACAGAGCTGAGACTCTGGGTGTACTTCCAGAATCTATCTGGAAATCAAACTTCCAGAAGTCAAATTATCATATACCTGGAATTGTGTCATCTATATTTTGTTCTTCAAAATAGCTCACATGAATCATTGCTTGGAAAACCAACCTGAAAATGTTAGGGTCAAAAATAGAATATTAATCATCCTCTATTAACCATGATTGCCTTGTTCTGATTGAAGAAAGGACATTCTAACCTGGCTGGGAGTTGCACACCCCTAGGACATGGGAGTCAACCTTGGACCTGGCAATCAGCCTTGGACCTGGGTGTCAACCTGGGAATGCAGTCCATTCTCATTCAAGAACTTCGTAATATCATGGAAAGATTAACAACCTTGTTGCCAAAAAAAATGGAGTCTCACCCCAACCCCCATTGCCTACTTCCCCATGCCTGTAATTCCTACTTTCTGATGTAATCTTTGTCCTTACCAATATGAGCAGCTGGCTTATAGGGGATTGGAGAGCAGATTTTTGTGGATGACCTGCTGCTCTCCCATACTGCCATCAGTATTGGAATAAACGCTCATATATGATTCAACCCTGTCTGTGCTTAATTGGCTCAAGTAGTGACAGGCAGCCCGGACTCATTGGTTGTCCGGTTTCAAAAATGGGCCATATTTCTCAACCCATAGAGAAGGGCTTTTGAAATAGTTCTGTGCAACAGGGGTGTTTAAATATGACAGTTAACTCAGCTGGCATGGCTCAGCCGTTGAACGTCAACCTGTGAATCAGAAGGTTCCTAGTTCGATTCCCAGTGAAGGCACAAGCCAGGGTTGTGGGCTCAATCCCCAATAGGGGGTGTGCAGGAGGCAGCCAATTGATGTTTCTCTATCATTGATGTTTCTCCCTATCTCTCTCCCTCTCTCTCTAAATCAATAAAAACATATTTTTAAAAATAAATATGAAATTTAGTAAAACATGTAATAAGATTTCCAAACAGATAGGTTTCTCCTGTGAGTTGTCCTGTTCAAGACTGCAGGCATGGGACTGGATGAAGCAATCTTTCAACCATTTGTCTTGGGAAACTAGGAAGTACAGCTTCATTTTTCAGAGACTTGGACGGGGGGTCGAGGGAGGGTGGGGGAGAGAGCTGGGGGTCCCATAAATCCATTTTGCTGCCATGGTAATCTTTGTGCTATGTCAAACATACAATGTCCTGAAAATCTATCACCTGTCACGGAGTCATAAACTATTCCACAGTCAAACCCTGACAATGAGACTTTCAAAGAGCCTTATGATTATAGGACTGAATTAGCCTTCCATGTGACCTCACTACAAGTCAGTACTGACTCTTCATGATATTTTTTTAAGCTATTGCTTAAGTTTATATCAAAATGTCAGAACATGAGCTCCCACTCTTATATTTTCAAGAGCAATATGAGAACAAAACTGAAAAGCGTATAAAACATGATTTCCAAACAAATGAAGCCTGTATTCAAATAACTCTGAAACAGATCTATTAAAACAGATTAAGTGTTTATTGAGCATCCACTATATGTTTGACAGTGTGTCAAGAACTGTGAGAAATATGAAAAAGATATTTTCATCAAGGCAACACAATCTAACTGTTAAAACTAACATGAGCTAAGCAAAAACATCACACAAGATAGATCACAATTGTTCAAATGTTTGGTAGAGACTAAAGCAATATAAAACTCATGAAGGGGATAAGCAAGGGCTAGGATAATCACAGTAGTTTTTGTAGAAGAGATCGGCATTTGATTTGATATGCAGGTAGAGGGAACTACAAGGTCAAAAGGTTAAAGGGAGGGGAGGCAGAGGTTGAAAAATAAACATGGCATTCCTAGAGAACTGTAAGTGGATATGAAAATTATTAAGGGTCTGAAGGTTTCTGAAACAGGAAAAGACAGTAGTCTTCTTTGGGCTCTGAAAGGGAGCTGACATGCAGTAGAGAGGTTCCCTGAATGTTGGCATTGGTCTTGGAGGCTGCCCAGCCCCTAAGGAGATGAGGCCCAGATGTCAGCCTAGAACAACAGAGGAAGAAGCCAAGTTTCACTCAATAGCAGAGCTAGCCTTAACAACCTGCTCATGCATAAGCTTTGGGGGAATTGGATAGGCCTCATAGAAATTAATCAATGAGAAGATAAAATTTCCCAGCACCCAAAGCACTTAAAGAGGCAACTACGGATCAAAGTGGGCTGACCCAAAGCCTAGCAGAGACATCTGGGAGACATTTTCTTAATGGTTTCTTTACTCAGAGAACCAGCACTTCAGAAACTCAAAGAAGCATAGAGCAGGAGAGGTGACAGGGGTGGGGATGGAGGGGGCACGTCTAGAGAGAAGAGTAGATAGCTAGGAGTCTGAGAGTAGAAAGATAGGAGGCAGAGGCTGAGACTCCACTGGGCCAAAAGCAGCTGCTGAATTTTAGGAATCTAGGGAACCTGCTAGATGTGTACTGTCCAATATGGTAGCCACTATGAATATGGATATTTAAATTAATTAAAATTAATGTGACACTAGGAACATGTCAACATGCTCAATAATCACATGTAGCTCATGGCTACCATAATGAAGGCTGCAGATAAAGAACATTTCGATCAGTGCTGAGGTATAAAGGATTAGGTATTGCTGGCTGCATGCCTAGTAGCTAGGATCAGCCAGGTCACTTGTGGTTTGGCATTAGCTACCTTGGAGAGATGACCCATGTTCACCCCTTTCTGTTCCTACTCATCCTCCAAACTGCAGCTTAATTCTCAATTGTGAGGAGGCCTCCTCTGAGTTCCAATCGTGCTTTCTTCTTCTACTATTTCCACTTATTGCACTGTACTTAAATTATCTGTCTCTCCCTATAGAGTCTATACTTATGCATTTTTTATATAGGAGAACAAGAATAAGAAGAATAGCAAAAAGAACAAGAACAATAAGAATAACTTTCATTGAGCCATTATTATGGCCTGAGCAGTTTAAATGCATGATCTTATTTAGGTACTACAATTATCCCCATTTTGTGAACAAAAAAACTGAGACTTATTATAGCTAAATAATCTACCCAAAGTCAGACAGATAACAACAGAACTAGGAATATGTGTTTTTATCAATTGGCTCTATTGCTCCTCACCCATCATAAAACATTGTATCAGGGTCCTTGTAAAAACATGTATGGAATCTTACTTTTAGAAATCCTATCTAATAAAGAGGAAATATGCAAATTGACCATCACACCATCACAAAGATGGCAGCGCCCAGTCCCCTAAGCCCTGCCGGAGTCCCCCAGTCCTTTCGGCCCTGCCAGGGGAGAGGGGGTGGCAGGCGTGTGGTGCGGCCAGACCTGCCCTCAGCCTCCCAGCTGTCCAGGGTCAGCCTGAGGTGCAGGCAAGCCTCGGATGGCGGCTGCCCAGCCGCACAGGGACAGCCTGAGGTGCAGGCAAGCCTTGGATGGTGGCTGCCCAGCCACCCAGGGTTGCCCGAGGCTCAGGTAGCCAGGGCCGGCTGAGGCTTGCACTGCCAGCAGTGGCAGCAGCAGAGGTGTGAGGGGGCGACACCTTCCCCTGATGGCTGGGTCGCCTCCTGCCCCTGAGGGTTCCTGGACTGTGAGAAGGGGCAGGACGGGCTGAGGGACCCCCCCCCCTCCAATGCATGAATTTTCATGCACTGGGCCTCTAGTATTAGAATAAATGTCAAATTAATCAGGTACTCAAATTTAATGGGAGACAAACATGTTGGTCAAAAAATGATACCAGCCCTGGCCGGTGTGTGTTATTGGTTGGGCATCGTCCAGTGCACCAAAGGGTTTCCATTTCAATTCCCAGTTGAAGGCACGTGCCTGGTTATAGGCTCAATCTCCAGAAGGGGGCATGCAGGAGGCAGCCAATCAATGTTTCTCTCTGATCAATGTTTCACTCTCTCCCTCTCTCTCTGAATATCAACAAACTATTCATTAAAAAAAAAAATTTAGCCCAGCCAGTGTGGCTCAGTGGTTGAGCATCGACCTATGAACTCAGACAGGGCACATGCCTCAGTTGCAGGCTCAATCCCCAATAGGAAGTGTCCAGGAGGCAGCCCATTGATGATTCTCATCATTGATGCGTCTATCTCTCCTTCTCCCTTCCTCTTTGAAATCAATAAAATAATATATATTTTAAAAATTGACATCAAGCTTGGGAAGTGCTTGATGTCTGAACTATAATTGATGTACAGCTGGGCAAACGAAGGGCTCAGTCACTGCAGGTGTGGGAAGGGCCATTTATAAGAGGAAAGAGCATATGCAAATGCATGGAGACACAGAAGAGTGTGTTGAAGGGTGAGTCATAGGTCAGAGGCACAGCAGAGATACTGCTGAGCTATTCTAACTTTAAGCCAACATTTATTCTTTCTATTGGAAATTTCCGTGTTGGCAGATAATTTTCTATATTACCCTGTCTGGTGGAATGCTAAGGAATAAAATCCCCTATAATTTTAAGTTCATACTATCAAGTCTTGTTGATCATATATCAAGAAATAGAACTCCCATGAACAAAAGTCACTAACTTACCAGATAACAAAAGCATACAGCACTCCAATGATGATAAAGGAGAATGCATAATGCCAACAGAAGCATATGGTGAGAAACTTAATGTTGTCATGATCCAGTAGATCCCATGCAGGACCTCCACTGGGGGGATAAAGGACAAAACCAATCTGCAATGTAAAACAAAAGCACACATTAAAATAATCGGCCACATTTCAAAATGCTTGGTTCCAAGAGGAATGGTAACCAAGACAACTCCCATTATCTGAACTATACAGAGAAGACTCAGGTTTTATTGCCTGTTTTAGTAATATAGACAGTACTAGTAGGTCATATTTTTGAAAAAAAATTTTAAGGACATTTAAAGATCAATTTCAAGATATGCATAGTAATCATCTCTGGGGATTGGTGGACATTCAGAGAATGTGCTTAGGTTTCTGAATTGTGCAGTTTCACTTGGTTACTTCAAAATTAGAGTACAGAAATGTTTTAAAATAAACAAATGCCTACAGCTAACACTATGTTTAATGATGAAAGGTTGAAAGCTTTTCCCCTAAGATCAAAACAAGACAAGATGTCTGATTTCACCACTTCTTTTCAACATTATACTAGAAATTCTATCAGAACAATTAGGCAAGAAAAATAAATAAATCACATATAGATTGCAAAGGGAGAAGTAAAATTATCTATATTCACAGGTGACATATATAAATATTAAAAACTCTAAAGAATCCACACCAAGAAAAACTGTTAGAGCTACTAAATTAATTCAGCATATTTGCAGGTTTACAAAATCAACGTACAAAAGTCAGATGTATTTTCCATATGCAATGAGCAACCCAAAATTAAGTGGGGGGAAAAAACAGTTCCACCCACTTGCAATAGCATTGAAAAGAAAAAAAATACTGTACAGAAGTAAATTTAATGAAAAAGGTTCAAAACTTATAGACTGAAAACTATAAAACATCATTGAAAGAAATCAAAGAAGATCTAAATAAATGGGAATACATCTCATGTTCATGGACTGGAAGATTTAACATTGTTAAGATGGCAATAATACACAAAGAAAACCCCAATAGCCTTTTTTGCAGAAATAGAAAGCTGATCCTAAAATTCATATGGAATTGCACAAGACCAAGAATAGTTAAAACAACTTTGGGGAAAAAGAGTTGTAAGACTTCTGCTTACTGATTTCAAAATGTATTACTTCTGGACTCTCAATTCTGTTCCATTGGTCTGTGTTTTGCCAGTATCATACTGTTTTGATTTTTATAGCTTTACTAGAGGTCTGGTGCATGAAATTTGTACACAAGGGGGGGGGGTCCCCTCAGCCCAGCCTGCACCCTCTCCAATCAGGGACCCCTTGGGGATCCCCACATCAGGCCTAAACCGGCAGTTGGACATCCCTCTCACAATCCGGGACTGCTGGCTCCTAACTGCTCACCTGCCTGCCTGCCTGATTGCCCCTAGCTGCCGCCACTGCCGGTCTGGTCACCCCCAACTCCCCCCCTCCCCCACCGACCTGGTCGCCCCTGCCCCCCTTGCTGGCCTGGTTGCCCCATGCAGCCTGCTGTTCAGTTGTTTGGTTGTCCCTCACTAACTCCCCTGCCGGCCTGGTCGCCCCACACAGCCTGCTGTTCAGTCGTTACTGTTACTGTGATGGGGTCCCAGACAATTTGCATATTCCTCTATTATTAGTATAGATAGTATAGTTTGAAGTCAGGGAGTGTGATGCCTCTAGCTTTGTTCTTTTTTTTCCAGGATTGCTTTGGCTATTTGGGTTTTTTAGTGGTTCCACACAAATCTGATGATTTTTGTTCTATTTCTTTAAAAAATGACATTGGACCCAGTCAGTGTGGCTCAGTGGTTGAGCATCAAACTATGATCCAGGAGGTCACAATTGAATTTCCGGTCAGGGCACATGCCTGGGTTGTGGGCTAGATCCCCAGTAGGGGTTGTGCAGGAGGCAGCCCATCTATGATTCTCTCTCATCATTGATGTTTCTATCTCTCTCTCCCTCTTCCTTTCTCTCTGAAATCAATACATATATTTTTTTTATATTCACAGATGACATATATTAATGTCAAAAATATATATATATTTAAATAACATTGGGATTTTTATGGGGATTACATTAAATCTGTGTTGCTTTGGGTAATATGGCCATTATAACTGTTGATTCTTACAATCCATGAACACAGAATATTTTTCTATTTCATTGTGTCTTTTTCAATCTCTTTGAATAATGCTTTGTCATTTTCAAAATATAAATCTTTCACATCCTTTGTTAAGTTTATTTCTTGGTATTTTATTTTTTCTGTTGCAATTGCAAAAGAAATTGTGTTTTTTTAATTTCTTTTTCAGAAATTTCATTGATAGTATACAGGAAGCAGTGGACTTTTGTACATTGATTTTGTACCCTGCAACTTTACTGTTTTTGTTTATTGTTTCTAGTAGTTTTTTGGTGGAGTCTTCAAGATTTTCTATATACAGAATCATGTCATCTACAAAATGTGACACTTTTATTTCTTCCTTTTCTATTCAGGTGCCTTTCATTTCTTTCTCTTGCCTGGTTGCTCTGGCTAGGACTTCCAGCACTATGTTGAGTAAGAGTGCTGAGAGTGAGCATCCTTGTCTTGTTCCTGATCTTAGGGGAAAAGCTTTCAGTTTTTCACCAGTGAGTATGATATTGGCTGAGGTATTAACGACACAAAGAGTTCTAAAAGCCTGACTTCATTCCTCACCTCAAGAGGAATCCTTTTGTTTTATTTTAGTTCCACTGGAACCAAACCACCAACCATCACTGTGTGCTAGAGGCCTGCAGCCCAGCACTTCTGCTGTGCAGTGCTGTTCTATGTCTGGTCCACAAGGAGCTTGCTCTGTTTTTGTTCATACTATTTAATTGCAGCTAGGTATTTTTTTACTTTCTTATTTTTGTTTGTTTATTTTCTTCTTTTAATTTCTTTTGTATTTTATAAGTAGTTTCGATACTGTATCTGTCATTGTTATTTATTTGGAACAGAGAAGATACACTGACGTATAAACTCACTGTGTCATCTTGACCAGAAGTTATCTCTTTAAAACTTTTTTTTAGCCCTAGCTGGTTTGGCACAGTGAAAAGAGCGTCAGCCTGTATACTGGAGGGTTCTGGGTTCGATTCCAGCCAAAGGCACGTACCTCGGTCCTGAGGATGTGTTCTAAGGCAACCAATCGATGTTTCTCTCTCTCTCTCTCTCTCTCTCTCTCTCTCTCTCTCTCTCCCTTCCACTCTCTCTAAAAATCAATGGAAAAATATCCTCAGTTGAGGATTAAAAAAATTGTTTTAATTTATTTTTATTTGTAAATAGGTAATAATATATGCACATGGTACAACAGTCCATCCAGGAGATTTAAAATGCTTTATATTTCATTCTATTTAGATTCCCAACAGATGATAAATAATCTTAAAAAACAAACAAACTTCTGTATATAAGCTTGTTAAATTCACCAATTATCAATTTTATCACATTATAGGACATTTGTTACTTTTCCTATATAGTTCTTTCTTCAAAATAACATTTAAATGTAGCCTCTCTTTGCTAACTTCTGCTCACACAGCCTTTCTACTCCTCCACATGCTTAAATATCACATCTTTCCTACTCCCTGTGTTGACCAGGATGTTCCACTCTCCTTGCCTGTGGTGCCTTTTTCTCATTCCTTGTGGGAAATTCAAGTTCCTGAAATAACCTCATGGTCCCAAATCCCTGCTCTTCGGTGATTAAAATCACTTCTAAGAAGACTTTCCTGATTAAACTACATTTACCTTTCATTCCAGACTTTCTTTTCATCCCTATATAGATATTGGGTTATGATGTCTCATTCTCTATAAAATATATGTTCACTGGTTGGAATACAATTTTTCAACAACACACCAAGGTTAGGGGTTTGACAGAGTAAAATGGAAAGAACCTGAGATTTGGCATCAGACACCCACATTTAGATTCCAGTTTCATTATTTTGTGATCCTGGGAAAGTAACTTTGTCTCTTTGAGTCTTCCTTATCGGATTACGTTGGGAATGATAATACTTAACTTACAAGTCGTTGTAAGGACATAATGAAACACTGTGTGTGGATGTCCTGTACAGTGGCTGGCCCTTAGTTGTTTCTCAATAAATAATTGTTTCAGGCCTTTCATATTTTTCTTGAGCTTACTACCCATTAGTAAGTTGCTTTAGCATCAAGGAATTGCTTCCAACTAAAAGCACCAGCTCAGAGTTCCTACATTGTGCATATTCAGGTGTGTGATGAAGACGGGCGCCCCCCACTTCCTTCCCCACTGCTCTGTCATTGCTCCCACCTGGGCTGCTCTTGGAGCCCGAATTCTCACTGCAGCAGCACAGAGGAGGAAGTCTCTGGGTTCTAGAGCAACATGCCCCACCAAACAAAGAGAGGAGGTCACAAGTGGAGACACCGGTACATTAACTCACCTGCCAGAACCAGCTCCCCTGAAGCAGAATAAAGCTCGTACGGAGAAGCTCCACGGTTAGATTGCCGCGTAAGAAGATCTCCATGAAGGCAGCCAGGCCTGCCAAAAAGATGACCAAGACCAACAGCTGGTGCACAAAGATGTCCAGTATTTCCCGGCCATGGGTGTGGTTGTAGAAAATAAAAGCTGATAGAGAGGGGGAAATCGTTTGTCTTTTTTAATGAAACCAGTTTCTCTCTCCCCTCTCCCCCACCACAGAATTTTACACGTACACACATTTGTTCCAAATATCTGGTGCCCACTGCTTCCCAGCTTCCCACAATAATGGCATTTTAGGAGTCATCGCTACCTCTTTAGAATGGAATTTTTTAAATTTAACACTCCTTTCCCCTCCCCCAGCCTTTATTCTCTCCTCTAACACAGCATGACATTTTCAACTAACTATATCTCAAAGCATCTTCAATGCAGGAGGAAAAATAATAACCATGCTGAGTGTGGGCAGCAGAAATTATGGTGAGTGCACAGCTGAACAAGACAAAGCCTTAAGGAATTCAGTCTATTGGAGGAAGCAAATCCTATCTAATAATAGACAAAGATGGTAATTGACTGTACCTTCGCTATGCCTCTCACTGGCTAATCAGCGCGATATGCAAATTAGCAGCCAACAAAGATGGCAGCTAATTTGCATACTGCAGGCAGGGCGGGACAGCGAGAGCCGCCATCCAAGCCCCGTGTGCAGCCCCGCCCCCAGCCGGGACCCCCATGTGCCACCTAAGCCCCGCCGCCAGCCGGAACCCCATGGCGATCAGAGAGCAGGAAAGTGTGGCCTGCAGGCAGCCCCCAGGTGGGCCTGCTCCTGGGTCGCCATGGTGATCCCAGAGCAGGAAAGTGCAGCCTGCCCCCGGGTCTCCGCGGCAATCCGGCGATCCATGAGCAGGAAAGCTCAGCCTGCAGGCAGCACCCGACCCTGGCCACAGCTCAAGGGAGAGTACAACACGCAGTGGAGGCCAGGAGCCTGAGAGATCAACACAGAGGGGCGCCTGCTCCAAGCTCCACGGTGTGGCTGGGGGCGGGCCCCCAGCGGGGACACACACACACACACACACACACACACACACACACAGCAACTGCTCCGAGCCTACATGGCGTGGCTGGGGGCAGGCCTCAGCAGACACACACACACACACGGGATGCCTACTCTGAGCCTCTGCTGCCAGACTGTGGCCATCAGTAGGACATCCACCGAGGGCTCCTGGACTGTGAGAGAAGCAGGCTGGGCTGAGGGAACCACCCCCTAGTGCACGAATTTCATGCATCAGGCCTCTAGTATATACATAAATCACTAGATGCTCTGGAAGCTCCCAAGAATTAGTAGCTAATTACATTGTTTAATCCCATGGAATGATGAGCTTCATCATCTTTTTTCCATTTCGATGAAGAAGAAAAGATGTTTCTTAAAAACATCACAACACCCTGAGATAATAAGACTCAGGTTGTTGGTGCCCACCTTTTATCTAGCCCTTGTTCTCAAAGAGGGATTGACCGAAGTTCTTATCTTCACATGTAGCAGGCAAGGTGGGGAGTTGGGAAATGACTGCCTCCTGATAATTTGGGGCTTTTTTAGTTCTACAGTCAAGTCATTCTTTACAAATAACGATAAATGAAAACAAATCACTAAACACTTGTTTGCAGTGTTTCCCCATACAGTAACAGGGTGACCAACTGAACAAAAATGTTGTTCTTCATTCATCTATCAAAAACAGGAGCTCATATTTTTATGTGACTGAGTTTGTTGGACCCTACTTATCATGTAATGGTGGACTGTTACTATCTCAATATAAAAAAGGCTGGTTAGTAGGTGATGGAAGCTACTCTGCTGTGTCTCCTCATTTTAGGATATTCGTGTTTCATTACATCGAGCTCAGTTTCACTTTTAAAAGCCAAAATAATGATAATCTCCAGGATAACCCAGAGATAACTATGGCAGATGGTTCTTTAAGACAGGTGTGAAATGTGGATAAAGCACTTTGAATGATTGTGCTTGTTCAGCTTTACTAAATGAGTCAGTAGGGAGGGAGAATCTTTGACATCCCACCTAGGGCATCAAATAGCTCACCATGGCCCAAATTGGTAACCCCGTGGACCAAGGCTGCACCAAGACACTAAAGGAATATTATTATAAAGGGCTAGACAAACGTCCAAAAGTAGTTAAAGGTACAAGAAAATACTCACTCTTACTTACCCTCCACAAATAAGGCATTTGACAACATTAACTTGCTTAAAGAGGTAGGAAGTGAACGGATGGTGGAACATAGGATGCTCATCACGCCCGCCAGCCCAAAGAAGAAGTACATGGTGGTGTGATGCCAACCCAGGAGTTGGACCCACTGGCCTTCTTTGTAGTTATACAAGGACAGGTGGGGCCCTCCAGGAATAAACTGTTCCCCAAGCATACCTGTAGAAGAACATATTAAAGTTTTAGTAAGTCTCTTCATAACGTGACCGAGAAAGCAGGAAGATGCAGGAGGAATAGCGCACTGCTTAGTCCAATCTAGTGACCTTTTAAATGACATGAATTCCTATTTCTGGGCTGTTGCCTAAGAGCTGAGCACTGGTGGTTTAGGCTTATTTCAGAGGTTCAAATATTGGCTTGGATCAGTGGTCGGCAAACTGCGGCTCATGAGCCACATGTGGCTCGCAAGCTGCAGTTTGCCGACCACTGGGATAATCACTTTTAATCAAAGATAGTCAATTCAGTCAAACAGCTATTTCAGACTTTTAATGCTAAAGATTTTAGTTCAACTTAGTTTCATGATCAGCTCCACTGATGATTTTAGTCCTTACTTTAATCTAATAACTGAATAAACCCCGAATGCTTTGGGATTCTATTTGTAAGATCAGTCCCCCAGAGGCTGATTACTTCCTTCTTACCCGTTGCATCTCTGGGTAGCTGCCACAAAGTAGGGAGTTGTGCTTGGTTCAGCATAAAAATGCTAGGGTTCAGCTTTTCCCCAATTAAGGATAACTGAGAAAACACAGTCAGCATGGCATATGGTCAAGCCAGCTACACAGTTGCATTTTCTTAAAAATGCTGTTTTATTTCTTAACCTATAGAATTTGACATTGAAATTTCCCTCTTGGGAAATGGTTGTTCTGGAATTTGATGGCCATAGCAAAGCGCTATGGCCATGAATTAAGCATGAAGAAAACCAAAGGAATATTAAGAGGTTTTGCCCTTCATAGAGGAGAAACTGAAGTAAAATTCTAAAAACATAGAACATTTTCACAGAATCATATAGTCAATGGAAAGGCCTTAGAAGTCGTCAGACCTAGCCTCCCTCTCCAATTTGGAAATCACACAAAAAGAATGAGTGCATGAACCAAGTCTTCTTCAGCCTATCCCTTTGTACATACTATTAACAATGGTATTCCTGAAGCTCTCCCATGAGCCCTTGATTATTTTTTTAAAAAATATATTTTTATTGATGTCAGAGAGGAAGGGAGAGGGAGAGGGAGACAGAAACATCAATGATGAGAGAGAATCATGGATCGGCTGCCTCTTGCACGCCCCCCACTGGGGATTGAGCCCACAGCCCTGGCATGTGCTCTTGACTGGAATAGAACCCGGGACCCTTCAGTCTGCAGGCCAACGCTCTATCCACTGGGCCACACCAGCTAGAGCAGCCCTTGATTATTTTGATGTCATTTTGAAAAATGCTTTCTGATGAAGTTTATTCTTTCAGGCATCAGAATACTTGGTATAAAATTATTTCAGAGGCTCCAGCTAATTCTATAAAGGAAATTAACCCTGAGTGGGCAGGCAAGTTAATTACCATGACTAACTTATTAAGGAACAAACCTTTGTATAAATATGAAGTATCACCTTCTAACAGTTATATAAGATAGAAATAACAATTAGAATATATGTTCAGAGATATTTTTAAAGTAAAAATTCACTGTTAGCAATTTCTCAATTTGATATTAAATCTTCTCTTTGCATATGAAAATAGCCAAAAGGAGAAAACAGAATACTGAAATAGTCCACTCACCAATTACAGCCATGCAGATTATTACGATTCCCTCCACAATATCTATTCGATAGAATACTGCTTTGGAGCCAAAATAGGAAGTCCGCTTGTGTTTTCTGCAGACATACTTCAGAATGCACTTCAGAGTCCACCAAATACCCATGATGATGAAGAAGGTTCCGGGGAGGGCATGGCCCTTGAAACTCCCCATGATTACTGAGATAAGAACATATAGAAGATGAAAACCTTTTATTTCCAGAACTTAGACAAAACATGGCTTATTCCTTATCTTCTGATGATTATGGATACACCATTGATTCCAAGGAAATGATATTACTGTCAACAGTAGTAAATCCACTGAAATATCAATAATACCAGGAAGAAGAAAAATTCTCAGTCTTTGAACACTTACCTTGTTCTAGGCCTTGTGCCAAGTGTTTTACATGATAACCTCACCTAATATTTACAACATACCTATGAATGACAGATTATCCATGCCACATATTTATATATTATTTTTTCAATCCAAAGAACATATAAACTTTTTATACCTAAGAAACTATAATTTGTACTGACTGCACTTACTCACCATGATTTGGATATATTTTTGCATGGTTTCTATTCTTTTCTAATGGATACTGTCCTGTGATGCTTCTAAGCCTGTTCATGGGTATATTGAAAGTCCTCTTCACCCATATACTTCAATCCATAGGTATCCCTAATGTTTATTTTTCCTTATATATTTACATACACTATGCACTATGAAAAATAAATAAAATTAATGATATGTATATTATTCAAAATAAAATTTCTTTTACTTTAAAAAAAAATGGGATACAGGTTTAGAGAAGTTAAAAGACTTACCCAAATCTCATAACTATTAAGCAAAAATTTTGTGGTTTTTAACAGGAAGCCCAAAAGGATTTCTTAAGTATATGTGAAGGAAAGTAATATAAAAGTTTTACTCTTATGTTTAAAACTTTAAATGATATAAAATTGCCTACAAATTTTTTAAAGTAGGTAACTTCAAAGTATCAAAAATCAAATGTGTGGAAGAGACCATTAGTGTGCATCAAATATCTGTGTGCGCCTCCACACTTTTCCCAGCCTTCCTCCAGTTCAATCAGAACCATGTTTCTAGTTCTGGCCAATGGTCTGTGGCATTTATTCCTTCAGGCTGAGTCATGTAAGAGCCTACCTGACTCCTTTACCTCTTCCCCTGACTTGGCAACCTTGACATGGCATGTCTGCAACATAGAGGGTGGCTAACCAGCCCGCTTCAGATTTTGTTCAACCCTTGATTGTGCCAAGTCATTGAAACTTTGAGGCTTAACAGATTAACCCAGCTGTTAACCCAGATAGATACCAAGGCAAAGCCATTGTAAATTGCTGCATGTTGAAGCAATAATAAACAGAAATGTTCCCCATTCTTGGTCAGCGCTATAGAAAATCAGTCTTGAATTGTGCAAGTTTTGAATTATGTGAGCAGCCCTTTGTTCAAATGTATGATACCATCTATGGAATAAGGAAGAGAGAGTTCAGAATCAGCCTTGTAGATCTTACCATGAAAGGGGACTTTGGTGTTCCCCTGGCCTGGCAGAGTTCTTTATCTCCCTGGGTGGACAGTGGGCCTTTTGGTTCAGGGCAGACCCTTTTGGGTTACTTCCACATCCCCCTGACACAACTGTGATGTTTCAAAGGAGGCTGTGAAACTGACTCAGATGATAAAATTCTCTTGAATATCTACTCAACACCCCAAATGGACATTTCAGCACATCCTGAACCATGTGAACCATCCAAGGGACTCCAGCTCAGTAGATCACATAGTGCAGGTTCTTCTCCTAACTCTGACTCTAATTAGTGCTGTGGTTCGGGGCATGTCCTTAACCTCTTGGGCCTTAGTTCTTAATTAATAAAAGAAAAGATGGGCTAGGTAAAACCTGGAGTTCCTTCCTGCTCTAACACTCTATGATTCATTATCCTAACCACCATCTTCCTCATAATGTTCCTAGTTCTCCTGTTTGTCTTGGTTTAGGCAACACTATGGGACTGAAAAATACTTCTATATGGAATTTTAAAAAATACATGCAGCTTGTAAATTATTTGAGCTTTTCTGGGGATATGTTTTAAGGAGCCTTAGAGGAACCCACTTCTAGAAATGTATCCTAAAAATATAACTGGAGACGTAGGCACCAAATTAAACACAATATTTATGTCTACAATTAGGAGAATGATTAAACAATTTTATCATTAAATAAAGTTTTCAAATAACTTACATAGCAGGAGATATAGTTACAGATAGATATAGGATTTTTTAAAAAACTGAGAAGAGGCTTTGGATTCAGACTGACTAGAGATGAATCCCAACTTTATCATTTACTAGCTAGCTACATGACTTTGGGCAAGTTATTTAACCTCTAAGTGCCTCAGTTTTTTCTTCTGTAACATTGGACAAATAACAGTACCTACCTAGTAAAATTAAAATGAGTTACTCTAATGCAACTAAGCCACAGTATTATTAAAACAAGCTCATATTATTCTCAACCCACCTCAAACTACCTGAGTAAAACAAAAGTAAACCCAGATGAAAAATTTTACTTGGATACTAACTGCTGAAAAGCAAGAAGCATCCATAAAATTCTCTTGGTTGTTATTCATGTACAATCTATAACATTTCTTCAGCTGTTATCTTAGAGGGTTACTGGAATTTTCTGTGGCTATTTAATTTCTTGATTGCAATTACAGAATATGTTTCTGAAATCTATTCTTTCTACTCCCTCATTGGACCTGGATAGTGGGTCATTTATTTAAAAAATATTCCTACTCTGATGTTTCAAAGTGCACTTATACTCAACATACCACAAATTTGAACTGATCATAATATCCACTCACCCGCTGCCAGAAAATCATTTTTTCCCCAGTTAGCCATTTTGGTTAACACCACCATTCATACACTTGCTCAAATTCAAAATATGAAAATCACCATAGAGTCCACCTATATCCCTGAAAATGAATTAGTTATTGAGACCTATTGCCTCTACTGCTTTACCATCCCCTACCCCAAATTTGGCTGACTTCCCATAGCCCCTTCAATTGTATCTGTTTGGGGAATCTCCCTGATGGCCCAGATAGGAGAGAGGCTCTCTTATACCTATCTAGGTACCCAGTTCTCACTTTAATAAGCGAACCAGTCTATCTCAACACAGCCATTAGGATGTGATAGGGAGGGAATGGGGAGTAAGTAGTTGATGGTTTTTAAAGAGGGATAGGAAGTGATCAGAGTGAGAGGGAAAATTAGTTCTTATTTCTACTTCAGTTATAAACTTCTGTATCTTTAACCGTTTAATCTAAAACAATCTGATGGTTCCAATCATTTTCTGTTTAAATGACCCAAGCAAAACGAAGTCAAAACAGGTTTTCTAGCCCTAGCTGGTTTGGTTCAGTGGATAGAGCATTGACCTGCGGACTGAAGGGCCCCGGCTTCTATTCCAGTCAAGGGCACATGCCTGGGTTGCGGGCTTGATCCCTAATGTGGGCGTGCAAAAGGCAGCCGATCAATGATTCTCTCTTATCATTTATGTTTCTATCTATCTCTTTCTCTCTTCCTCTCTGATATATATATATACATATATATGTGTATATATATATATATATATATGTATATATATACATATATATATACATATATATATATATTAAAAAACAACAAACAGGTTTGCTATATTTGCTTGACCCAACAAACCCAGCTGCTCCTGCCACTGCAAATGACATTCAGTTTACTTCATTTTCAATGTGGAAAGAAAAAGTTGCATAACTCCTCAAATATCACTTCAGTGTCATCTCCTAGATGACACCATTACCCATAGATTTATTTTTTGTTCCCTGCTTTACTATTCCCTGTAGACAAAATTTATTACTTGTAAAATCCAAGTACTCCAGAGTTTGATTAGATCTTAATCCAAAGAACAGACACATTCCCCTTGGAGAACAGAGGGCATGCCTCGCCCACAAAGCAGAACATACCTGCTGGACAGCCAGCAGAAACCCCAGGGGAAATCTCCAGGCAAGGAAACAAAAGGGTACTTTTTCAACATCCTCCCTGCTTGATCTCACCACTTACAATCTCACAAAGGGAAAACTGTTCTTCCAGGCCCACAAGAGTACAAGATTCAATCCCTGACTCCTAACTGCAGTTCATCCTGAAAATGCATACTCCTTCCCCATCCAAAAACCCCTCTGCTCCTAATGACACCAAACATCATCCTCTGGGTTAAAGATGAGATACAACTCCCGACACCCATATTGGCCCCTTTTCTTCTGACTGCCCCCCTCCAACACACACGCACACACACACACACACACACACACACTCATTCAATACCCAAAAGGGAAATATTTTAAAACTCTGGCACTTAGAGATAATATTGGTTAAATTTCCAAGATCTAAATTGGGTGTTAGGTGCTAATTCTCAGTATTACAGTCACATAAAGTTCAGAGTAGGCCTGTGCACAGAAAGAGGAAACTAGATCCGAAAAAAATATTCTACAGTTTTCTTGGTGAAATTAACCAAATAGCTAACGTCAATAGAAAAATGAATACCATGGAGAAAAACTTAAACCAAAATTTCACCTTGAGCCACCACTAAAATAAAGTATTCCTAAATCTTAATTAATGACTCATATTCCAAAACATATCTGTAAATTCTAATACACCAAAACAATTTGAACTACTTCTTAAGCTTCACTTTACTATTTGCCTTAACACTCAAAGCAAAGTATTACATAAGCATATGTAACTTTAAATATTTTTGATTCTCAAAGCATTTCATACAAGCACTTTCCCAAATTTCAACTGTTTTGAGGTTTTCTTAGTTAAACTCTTCTTACCTTCACACTTTCCTCAATGTCAAGTTCAACTCAATTTTCTTCTTCCCAGAATTTATAATGGTTCTGTTCTCAAGAAGGAAAAGCAGGTACTGAATGTTCTCAATCTAAAGCTGTTCTTCCTTGGAGATTAAACCAATGTGCTCATGTCTCCAGGAATGAAGTTGAGCAGATGAGCCTTCAGAATGTCACAATTCCTGCATAAATTTGGATCTAGGGACCACACCCTTTTGAGCATCATACCTCTCTGTCTAAACTTGTGCAATAGAGTATTTCCCAATGAGGCTCACCTTATTACCCCGCCCACATGACCACTAGTTTCAGGCATGTAC